CGCCCCCCCCCCGCACCCCGCGCCCCCGCCGCTCTTGGTTCAGCTTCTGGAAGAAGGTCTTGCCAAATTCGTAGGTGCTGATCATGATGGCACAGGCGGGTGCCACCTTAATGACGCGGGGCAGGAAGCCTGCAAGGACAACCCCGTTAACCCCTCAGTGACAGCAAGGCCAACCCCGTTAACCCCTCAGTGACACCAGGGCGCTAGTTAACCCCAGCCCGGGGCGGGGGGCACAGCTTTACCTGCAAACAGCCCCCGGGTGCCAGACTCGGCATGGATGCGCCGCATGAGGAGCCAGGTGGAGGAAGGCTTGGAGGCTGTGACTGTGGGGAGAGGGGAGGGGGTGAGGGTCTGGGGATACCCACGTACCACCGGGGAGTCCCAGCTGCCCCCAGGCCATCCGTCTGGAGCTCAGCCCCTCACCTGGGTGCACCTCGCTGTCTCCCAGCTCGATCTGCCGCTGGGTCTTCACCACGTCGAAGGGCAGGTCAGCACCGCAGCCACCTGCGGGACCAGCAGCCGGGTGGTGAGTGGGGCCCTTGCTGTCCCACCTCCCAGCACCATCCCAACCCCAGCCCCTTGTCCCCACGGGGGCCATTCCCCCGGCTCACGGCTGAGTGAGCCCCAGCGCAGACCCCAGAGCCCCAAACTCACCGTCCCAGAGACGGCCCCGGATGTGAAGCTGATCATGAATGTGGCCTCGTCCAGCTGGACCTGCCTGCAGAGCCATTCCCTCACCAGCTCATAGTTAAACCAGTAGAGAGCTGGAAGGAGATGAGAAACACCAGTGCTACGAGGAGGCACCCCCAACACGCCAACCTCCCCCTTCCCCACCGCAGGGCTGTCCTGGCCCGTGTTCGTCCCCCCATCTTCCAGTGCCACGGCTCACCCCGCCTCCCCCCCAGCCATACCTGAGAAGGGGACGTCTCGCAGCACGGTGGGTCCCCAGCCCCTCCAGAGGGACAGCCAGCCATCCTGAGCCACTGCCGACTGGATGCAGACACGCAGCTCCCGGTAGCTGAGCTGTCGGGACTGCATCTTGGTGCGTATGAGCTCCAAGGGGCTGATGACCGTCACGGCGCCCACTGCAATGGGGGGGACATTGGGCATCAGCCCTGTCTGCTCCAGCAGCTGTCCCAGAGCCATCAGAGCACCGTGCCAGAAGAGCCAGGCGTCGAACGTGGGCACCAACAGCCAAGAGACCTGCTGCGCCCTCCTGCAAGGATGCAGGGTGGGCACGGGGGGGCACCCGGAGAGGGGAGGTACTCACGCCTGGCAAGGGCCCCGGCCAGCAAGGGGATGTGGTGTCCCCGGCTTCCTGTCCGAGCGTGCAGGTAGTCCCGGAGCTGGTCGTAGGTGGTGAAATAAATGACGGTGGCTGGCACAGCCATGACCCTGCCGAGGAGAAGGGGTGGTGAGGGACATGTGTGCCCTCCCCAGGGGCTGGCACAAGGCTGGGGGGGGATGCCCACATGCCTGGGCAGGCGTTTGCACCTGGACCCCCCGCCAGGCAGGGTCCAAACTCACAGGGTGGGGGGCAAGCCGCTCCACAGAGACCTGATGCCCTCGTAGCGTGTGATCTTCACGAAGGCATCCTGGGGAGAGAGCGGAGCACAGGGGGAAAGGTTAGAGGGGGGAAGAGGGGCAAGCACATCCCCCCAGCAAACACCCTGACCCCCTCTCTGGGACAGGGAGTCCCCTGCCCACCCTGCCTGCAGCCCCTACCAGTGTGCCAGTGAAGCAGGTGGGGGCCTTGTACCAGGCGGTGCAGCTGTTGCCATTCTGGCAGACGTACAGATGGTCCATGAGCCCGTTGCAGTAAAGGAAACACTTCCCTGGGACAGGAGGCAACAGCATCACCATTAGACAAGAGACCCTTCCCCTCTGCCCCACACCCAGCCCATTTGATCCCAAAACCACCACCTCTTCCAGGAGAGAGCCAAACCCTCAGTGCCCAAGCCTGGTGGGGACGAGCCCCAGACCAAGGCCAGGAGAGGGCTGACCCTCCAGCAAGGGTCTGACCGCAGCCAGACCCATGGGGTGGGGGGGAATCTGGGCCCACCGTGGGGACAGGGGCACGGCAGGAGCCATTGCCAGTGGCAGGAGAGGTTTAAGCCTCGTTTGGCATCCGCTGCCTTGGCACAGTGGGGATGCTATTGCAGGGAGTCAGCATAAACCCCTCCACCAGGCTCTTGGGCCAGGCACAGGCACGCCGGGCAGCGGGGAGCGAGGCAGCAGAGATCCAAGGGGACTTCGACGCAGCAGTAGGACAGAGTGACAAGGCAGGGCAAGGACAGGGGGGGAACACAGACAATGAGGCCTGTTGCACAACAGACCCCCAGCAGACCCCCCCGGGCAAGGACCCAGCAGGGACATTGCATGGCCAGCCCCAAAGTGGGGCTGCAGGAGCAGCTGTGGGGCTGGGGACAATCTTAGACCCCACACGGGAGCGGGATGTCCTCCCAGCCGGAGGAGCCCAAACGGCCACCATCAGGGAAGGAAACTGGGGTCAAGGCTTGGGAAAGCAAAGCCGCTGGCGATGGGAGCTGCCCAGAGCCCTGGGGCATACTCACATGTGGCCCGCCGAGTGCCCCAGGGCACAGACCATGCTGGCAACGCTGAAACACACAACAGGGACGGGCTGAGTGACAACACGGGGGATGTGCCGTCGTTGGGGCACACGTGTGTCCCACAGCTCTGACCCAGGCAGCTCCATGGGTGAAGGGGCTGGATGCTCCTGCAGCCACTTCCCAAGCAGTCCCTATTGTCACCAAACCAGTCCCTTGGGACCAGCCCCAGCCCACTGACCCCACAGAGAGGGGGACAGACAAGGGGGGCAGAACCCATGGGGTCTCTCCTGCCCTGTGGAAGCTGAGGGGAGCAGTGTGGAGACAGGCACAAAAGGCAGAGGGGGAATGAGCGAGCAGCCAGAGTGGGGTGAGCCCTTCTGCCCCACTCTCTGTCTGGCAGGGGGCTGCCAGGCACAGCGCTGACCCCACTCGGCGTTGGCACGGGGCTGTGGATGGGGAAGGACAGAGCAGAGCATCAGCCCGGTTCCCCCAGTGGGGCCCCTCGAGCCCGTCAGGACGAGGGGCCCACGGTAACCTGCCACCTCGTGACGGCCCCACGCTCAGGAGCCGACAAATCCCTGCCACCGGCTACATCCATGTGGGCTGCGCGCTGGCTGACGGGGGGGGGGCTGGCTGGAGACACCCACCCTGCCCCGAGTGGGGTTACCTTTGGAGAAAGGGGTCCTTTGTGCCTGCAGCCGGATCTTCACCACATCCAGCGGTGTCACTGAAACAACACCACCCTTTAGCCACACCGCACCGTGCCAGCCCCCAGCACCCACCCGCTCCCTGCGGTCCTCACCAAAGAGGGAGGTGAGGATGGCCCCGGTCCCC